TCTTATCCGATAATTTGCCACATTGCAGGATATTTAAAAATATTTAATACGTCACGCGTCTTTTACCTTTTTTAAGCAATGCTAGAATCTTCTATATACTTCGTGAAGTTCCGAATGTAATTTCATTTATTTGTTTCCACCAAAAACATACAAACAAAAAAGAAGTAGAAAATAGCGTCGACGGCTCGGCTCTTCGGGCCGTTTCACAAATTCAATTTCGCAAGATTCATCTGCTGGATCCGGATACGCGTTTTGGTTTAAACCGCGGTTTCGAACGGGGTCGTCCCTCGGCGACTTCTATCCGATTAAAGTAGATACGCGCGATAACGCCGTCTCGGATTTATCTCCTTACCTCCTCGAACCGTTCGATCGCATTCTATTACAGTCTCCCGCACACGTACGCGTACCGGTGCAGTCGTCGCGCGTGCATGGCCCTGCACCGCGAGCGCGTCCGCGATGCGCTAGCGCCGTGCCGCTTCGCTTCGCTCCGCGCCGCGCGGAGATTCTGACAGAAGATACCGGGTTCGATTCGCGAAACTTTATCCGGGACGCAGACGACGCGGCTAAACAAACGCTGAATAAGTTTCAGCCGGGAAGCCTAGCGGTACCGAGGCGTCGTAACTTTTACGATCGAGACGAGACCGCGAGAAATTCGCCGGCGGGTTTATGCAGAAACGCTTCGCTTACGTAAAGCGCAAGTTTTAATGGCGAAGGGGCGAACTGTTTGGAGAACGGCGCCGCCGTTAGCTCGGCCTCGAATATCCTCTCCAATCTTCCGGAGATTGATGCGCAATAAACTAAACGATAAATCGAATTAAATCTTCGCCGGCGTACTCGAGACTTCCTTCCTCCCGTAATTGATCATTGTCCGCGAATCCTAACTGTACCGGGGCTGAGAAACTGTTACGATATCGATTTTGGTTCGTACAACGTTCATGGAAGAAGCGGATGAGTTATTGCAGGGAAATTATTGGAAGAATCAAGAGCGAGACTAACATCTGAAGAAAGGTACAGTAATTTTTCCCTAATTCGCGCACAGATTGCGCAGAAAAATGGTCAACTTGGGAAGACAATTTATGGACAATCTGAGCGTCAATTAGAGAGACATTACTGTACTTTGTAACAATTATGAGAGTTTTCCGATTCTCTATACAATAAATTCTCCGTAATTGACGCTCAGACTATGTAAAAATATTGACAATTTGGGAAGAAGAAATACGATTATTCGAGCCTTGCAATTCGTTTTTATAGTTACCGATTATCAACAATTATAAGAATAGGCCGCAAGTCTCGAATATTCATATCTCCGCTTCCCAAATTGTCCATTTTTTGTGCACAATCGGAGAACTCTCATAATTGTTACAAAGTACAGTAATGTCTCCCTAACTGACGCTCAAATTGTCCAAAAAAATGGACGATTTGGGAAGAGGAGATACGATTATTCGAACCTTCTAGCTCGTTTTTATAGTTGCTGACAATTCGTAACTATAAAAACGATCCGCAGGGCTCGAATAATCGTATCTCCAGTCCCCAAATTGTCCATTTCTGTGGTCAATCTGAGCGTCAATTAGAGAGACATTACTGTACTCCGTTTTAAAAGGTGTCCGAATATAATAAAGACGTACAAAGTAGTATAATTTATCAATGACGATGAAAAACTAATCCAAGCAAATGGTACATTTAACACAAACAGGGGTAGTTCCTAAAACTCCCGAAATTCCGGTCTCGTTTAAAGTTCTTCCACGCGCGAAAACAACGCTCGTATTCTCCCGGCCGGCAACGAAACGGTCGCGCGAAAGAAACAAAATGCGTTCCCGTACGAGACGGTATCGAAGATTAAACCCATTCTGGCAGAAATCTCGGCGGGATCGATAAGGAGCGGGGCGGGTCGTTAAGGTAAATCGAATTCTGAAACGGCGTGCTAATGCTAACAGGTGATAAGGTCGATTACGGATGCACCTTTTTCTATCTCTTAGTTCCTCTCGCTGCTGCTGCTGCTGCCGCCGCTGTCTGGCAGCTCTCTGGAATCGGCCGGTCTCCCCTTACCCTCTAATATTGTCAGACTGGAAATGAGGAAGAAAATCGCATCCTCCCGAAGATTGAAAAGTAAAATGAGAAGCGAGTGGGAGGGTCGGACGTCTTGGACGGTGAAAGCGAGAGGAGACGGCTACGCGCGGGTGCAGGTTCGAGGGTGTCGACCCGTCGCGCCCGAACGGGAAAGAAACAGTCGAGGGCGCGAAGGGCCGCGAAGGGTGTGAGAACGGGGGGAGACAGAGAATGGTAGAGACAGTCGGATGGAGCGAATGGAGAATCAAGGACGGGACAAGGTGAGGCATTTCTCGGCGGGGATCGTCATTGGGGACTCTTGGGGGATTTCTTTTCTCTCCGCGTCTGGATTAAAGGCAGAGCCGACTCCGAGAGCCGCTCCCCCTCCACCACCCGTTCCTCGCTCTTTCCCGCCCCGAAAGTATATGTGTTGCGAAACGCTGGAATTTCGCTACAATGGGAAGAGCAAAGGAGTATACCAATCTCGGGAAAAGGTTCGCCGGGCGAGAGCCGGCTCGGAAATAAATAGAGCCCGCTCGGAACGGTTCGGCGGGCTCTCCGCCACTTCGGGGCTTCTCGTAACGAGTTTTTTACCTGCCGGCAAATCGGCCGTCGCCGTGCCGATCCCGTCCTGTTCCCGATACACACGACGCATCTCGCGTTCGGACGGAATTTATTAAGCGGAGCCCGGGGATCCCATCCGGCTTCGCGAGGCTAAGTCCGACTTAGCGAGCGGAAACGCGGCCAGAAGTTGGCTCATCGATTTATGCGGGTCTGGATCTTCGATCTCGTTGTTCGGCAGGACATCGAACCGGCGAACTGGCTGGGAGGTCCGTTAACATTTGCCGGAAGATTATAGTTCTGCCAAGCTCCGCTCGCTGGACCGCACCGCTCTATTCGCTGATCCATGAGATCGCAAGGAACCTGTCGTGGAAACCCGACTGGACAGGATAGCGACGATATCTTGCTTTTATCGGGAGGATTCGGTGTGTACGGTAAATTCTCTCGAAAAACCTCTAATCATTGCAAAAGCTGCAGGGTGTCCCAAAAATGTCTCGCAATACGGAAATGTGGGGTAGCTGAGGTAATTCTAAGTAACTTTTTCCTTTGCGAAAATGCAATCCGCGACTTTGTTCACGAGTTATTAACGAAAACCACTGACCAATGAGAGGTATGGTAAGGGTTTAATCATCGGTCACGCGATAATAATTTATCGCTCGGTCGTGTCCTTGCTTTCGTTTCCACGAAATACTTGGCGAAAATTCGAATTTGCACGGATATCCGCGGTCTGGTCGCACCGATTCACGATTTGCGAACAGTCGAGTCGTCGCGCGGCCCGAACGACCGAGAGTTATTTGTTCCGCGACAGCAATTACCAAATCGTCCCTAAGCCTCTCGCAGCCGCGCGGCCTTTCGAAGAGGATTCGGCGCTTGTTTTACCACCGCATCGGAATCTGGGAAATTCGTCGCGAACGCATCCTGCCGCCGCGCCGCGCCGCGCCGCGACGTCGTTTTATTCAGCAGGCAGACTTATCGCGAGGACGGTGCACCGGGTCGCGTGCATCCTCGCCTCGCGAGAGCTACGAGCATCGACGCACGATTCTACTTAACGTAAGGTGATTATTCCGGCAAAGCTGGTGCGCGAGCCAAGGAACTGCTAAAGCCGGCTATACTTAGTCGCTTCGGGGATCCTCTCGAGACCCGACTGGGATCGCGTTAAATGTTCAACAGTTTTAAGAAACTAAGTTCCTGCAAATATTGCGGTCGTTCCGCCCCTCTAACTACTCGCGATTATGATCCTCTTATCCGCCGTCTCGAACATACTTTCCCGAAATTTACCCGCGGACTCTTCAACGAAATTGAAATTTAATTTTCAAGCGCCTGCATGGAGAATGCCAGACTACTAATTTAGATCGAGCAACACCTGGGAGTAGAGTTATTTCATTTGTTGGCAAAGTTAAGGAGCGCTGCCACGAGCGCTGCTAATTCCAGTTCGAATAGTTCGAAAGATCGGTTCTTTCGCTATAATAATGCGTAGCGTCGTTGAGTTTCTCCCGCGATTGCTTTATTTTTCATCTTTCTAAAGGTTGCGCTTTTTAAAAACTCGATCGAAAGTATTTCGTACGATGTTTCGATAAAGAAGGGAAAATATTAGTTTCAAATATAAAAAAAACATTGATTGTCTGACATAGTTACGCTATCGACTGATAGCGATTTCAAATTAGGTGCGATTAGTAAGTAGACCACGGATCGTATGCATTTATGGCAAAATTGAGTGGTTGTAATTTAAAATAGAAGAATCTAAAAATATCAATGCACCATTTTTAATTTATTAAAACGATTAGGGAAATAAATAGCTTGGCATTTAGCTTCTGTTTCTTGCAATCGACGCAGACAATTCTCGTTTCGCATAAAAATTCGCGGTTCGGTGCATAATAAAGATACGCGTAACACAAGTTACAAGTACAATTTTATCATAGAAAACTGTCTCATTCAGGGCAGTCCTCCCCTACTCGACATATTTACGCGCTATGCCCCGGAATAAATGTTCAAATAATTACGCCAATAGGCACGAAACGATCGCGAACATAAATAGTCCGCGCGTAATATCGATATACTAATATGAAATCTACAAATCTAGTTTATAGTTGCAACTATTCACGAAACGACAGCCCGAACGTGTGCGTCGCAAATTACAGCGCAAACCCAGCGTTCGGCCGAGCAATGAATAATTCCGCCGCGAAGAATTAATATTCTAAGCAATAACGAATGTTCCCGTCCGCGTGAAAGAACCGGAATATTTCACCATGAAAATCCGATCGGCGCGCGCGGGCAATTAATCGTAAGACAATGCCGCCAAAACATCCAGAAGCCGGCATAAATAACTCGGCCGGACAGTTTCGGATCGAGCTGCCATAATACGTCGGGGGTGGATAATTTATATGCAAACTCACCTCGAGAACGTGCTCGGCCTGGTTCTCCCTGTCGAGCTTCCTGCCGCTGGTCGTGATCAGACCTGGAACAAAAACCGTGCGCCGCAAAAATTAGCCGGGACTTCATAAATCCTGATTGAACGATGTTTCAATCAAGCGTTCACCGGATCGCGAACCTCGACCGGCGCGGCGCGGCACGGGTCCGGCACGGCGATTCGTTCGTTCGTTCGTTCTTTCGACGACGAAAAAAAGGCTCGATTAGCGGGACAAAGATTAGCCGGATGAAACGAACGCGGACGAGATGATAGCGTTCAGAATTCACGGGACGGCGAATCGAACACTCGAACTTCCCTCTCCGATTATATTCGTTCGTGCGGTCTCCTCTCCTCCGTTTTATTTCCCGTCGGAATCTATTTTAGTCGTTCGGGAAAATTCGCCGGGAAAATCCCGGCGACCGAGCGAATCCCGGCACTCTTGCGGATTCGAGATCGGGGCCCGCCGCGGACAACGAACGTTTGTCCGCGAGAATCCTTCGGCCCGGACAATCCGCCGCCGCGTTTTTCAACGCATCTGGGAAACGAGCGTCGTCGGAAAATAATCGGCGAACGGAGAATTTCGGCCGCCATTGTCGGGCGTTCCTCGTTCCTCGACTGCTGTGCGCCGACGTTTCTCGTTTCTCGGTCGAAATAGTAATTGGGTTTCGCCGCTCGACCAGTCCCCGAGAGCGTAACAATTTCGCGGCAAATTGCTTTCTCCTGCCGGATCCCACGCACACCCCTTTCGCCACGTTTTTCTACGTTTTTTTTCATTTTTTTCGCTCCGACGTTTCCGGGCCGAGCCGCGCAAGAAATTTCAATGTAAGTGTTCCGGAGAAAAAGCGGCGCGACGGCGGCGGGCTTTCCGCGTCGAGACGCTCCGCGCCAAGCCGGGCGACTTTGCCGGATGCGGACGGTTTCCGGGAAGTTTCCGCACGGGAAACGGTCGCCCGAGAAGAGCAAAGGGAACACGGCGCCGCGCCGAGCCGAGCCGGCGAGAAGCCCCTGAGATGTCGCGACGACATTTTTTCACCGATGCTTCTACGGCTTCCGGTAACAACGACAAACGACCGGGATTTTATATTCCGGCAGGAAGTACTAATCACGTTGCCGCCGAAGCCGTTCCGTTGCGAACCGGACGACGAAAGGGTTGCGGCGGCACGGTTGCCAACTTCTGTTTCGCGGTTTCATCACGGATCGGATCCGAGCCTTGTTCAACTTAAGATTTAATTGGATGGGAACGTTCGCGACGATGATTTTACGTTTCGATGACCGATTCGCAGATCTTACGGATCTTGAGGAGAAGATTAATTTCGAGATATCTTGCTGTTTTAATTGTCAGGGCTGTGGTAGCGATTCTTACCTAGTAATACAAGTAAGTTATACGCATATATTGTTTATTGTTTGTTACAATTTGTAATTATATATATAAATTGTTCATTTTTCTTTATAAACTGAAAGAAAATTAGGGAGAAATTATTATATAACTAAAGTATATATATATATATAGAGAGAGAGAGAGAGGGAGAGAGGGATATACTTTAGTTATACAATAATTTCTCCCTAATTTTATTTCACTTTATAAAAAAAAATGAACAATTTGAGAAGAGGAGATACGATTATTCGAGCCTTGCACCTCTTTTTTATAACTGTTGTTAATCGGCAGCTATAGAAATGAGCTGCGAGGCTCGAATAATCGTATTTCCTCTCCACAATTAACATTGTAAAAGTTTAAATATGTTTGAATAATTATTAAACAGATGCCCCTAACGCAACAATCTTTAAATTTAATTTTATCTTCAATTTTGTCTTATCGCATTCGCTCAAAGGCAATTCTATCATTTTTGTTCATCGTTTGTTGCATTTATTTATTGTATTATTTGTTCAATTTACAATATCATGCAATACCAAAGTGCGCATGGAATACAACTAGTGTGGCAGATCAGTTTCTTCCATTTATAGGCATTCATGTTTTGTCTCCGAGATATCGAGCTCGCTTGACGTAACGCAAATTATCGCATCGGCAATTCTGAATGGTGACAATAACCGAGTTATACTTTCCAAGAATGCTTCGCGATGACTCATTCGGCGATACGTTCATTACGGGCATGAATCGTCCCGATTTGTAATTACGGTGCAATGCACACGGTGTCTCTGCTTGCAGTGACTCGCGTTGACGTTCGGACAGCTTTTAAAACGGTATGAAATTCTTAAAAGAGCTTTTAAAACAGTATAAAATTCTTAAAATGACTTGTATTATTTTTCAGACGTTAGAAGGACCAGTTCGCGAAGCAATGTCCGCGAAACGTTTTATGAAGATTGCAATTGTTTGATTCTTAAAAGTGCTTTTAAAACAGTATAAAATTCTTAAAAGAGCTTTTAAAGCGGTATAGAATTCTCAAAAGAGCTTCTAAAACAATATAAAATTCTCAAAATGACTTGTATTATTTTTGAAACGTTAGAAGCACCAGTTCGCGAAGCAATGTCCGTGAAACATTTTATGAAGATTGCAATTGTTCGTTCCGAGCCAACAATGCAAATTTGAACAATGCGTTATCAGCAATAAAAATTAAAAAAGAAAGTATTTTAGTCACTGTACGGGGTACAGCAGTCCCTCCGACGTCTGAAAAGAAAAATCAAATAATTTCGTTCAATTCGAGAAAAAGTTATTCTGTCTTAGAATGTATCCGAACATCAACGCGAGCCACTGTAAATCGTTTCGCAGTGACCAGACCCGTCGATCCGACGTCCGAGATCTAATTCACGATTTCGCAAACAGCGGGTTGCACTTTCGGTCCACGTCGACGGTCCTCGGATCTGCGACCTCCCGAGGCCGATTAAATCGTCGACGTCGCGCCGACCTCGAGCCTTCCCCGAAACGTCCGTGACAAACTCTAATAACCGTAATAACGAGATTCCCGTGGTGCACGCGGAAGGGGAGGGGCAGGTAAGGCTGCATCGCGGCGCGGAATATTTCACGGAGATCGAGTGCATCGGCCATCGACATCGGCCGTCAAGTGCAACGTCATTGTTCGCCGACTACTCGCCTCCTGGCCTGGGAGCCGACACGCAGACGGTAATAACGGGCTCGACATTCCGTCGCCTGGTTTTCCTCGTCGGAATTCGCGATCCGAAGAAGAAGAAGAAGAAGAAGAAGAAGAACAGAAAAGTGAACAACGACGCGAACCACAGAGAGCAGCCGCGTCCCCCAGAAACCGACGGGGAATGCGCGGGGTGCCGCGAAAAGGGTGGGCTAAAAATGCCCCGGGATCAAGAGTTGCGCTAACTCGATCACATCGTAATTCAATTTCGCGATCTAATTAGACGGTGTTTCAATTACACGGTAATTTCGACTACGTTGTAACTGAACGTGAAACACATCTGAACGTTTTTACCTAACCGGGTCGGCTCTCTCCATTAACCGCGGCTAATTTACGCCGGCTGAATTTTTGTGCCGCGCATTCCGCCGCATAAATCCGGAATTCAAGTTTAAATTAAATCGGAACATCGCGGAGGGATCGAATTATCTCTGCGGCCAACAAATTCCCCGGTCGCCGCGTTTATAGACAACTCCGTGGAGCGCGGAGTCAAACGAAATTTCATTAAACCGAGAACAAAAGCTCGCCGGCTGGATCAGCGTATACGACAAGCGCGGGGGAACACGCCGGGCGCGGCGGCGTACAGATGAAGCGTCGGATACTGTCCATTCTTTTATGCATTCAGAACCTCCTCGAAACACGGGGCGCGCAAAGAGAGAACTCGAGTAGCTATTCTTTGAGGGGTCCCGGTTTATTATAATTCTTTTCTGTCCCGCGAGTTTCGCGACACCCTCTAGACAGGGTGAAGAGCGCGACGGGAACGGGAACCGCGACACCGAGGAGCCGCGGGAGGTGGAGGGAAAAAATGAAAAACGGAGGGAAAACGGCTCGCAGAGAGGGAACACGGCGTGTTCCGCGCGGTGAAACGCATTTAAATAATTGCTTTTCGTTTTTGTTCCTCGGCTCTCGTCGCGCTGCGCCGCGTCGTCGAGCGCGTCGCCGATGCAGCAACGATGCAACGGAGGCGCGCGATCGCGACCCGCGGAAGATTCGTTATCGGAAATCAGACGGGTGCAACGGAACCGCGTTCGCGGTATGTAACTGTAACTGTAACGACAACGGCGACGACCCGGATCGTTGTTGCGTAACGCGAACTTTCGGTAGATCGGTGTAGATCGCGGCAGATTTATTCGCGGTTCGCGTCACAGTCCCAAAGGACGCGGCCGGGATCCGGCGGAACGTCCTCGACCGCGGATCTCGAAACCCGTTGGGAGAACACTTTATGACGGCCCGTGAAAAATACATTGTGGAAAACACACACACACGCGTTGGCGACAACTTCGTGGAAAACCACACCGTGAAAAAGCACACCGTGCGACATCGCAGGACCAACTTCGTCGCGATCCTCCCCGGAGACGCTTTTCATTTTATTTCGTTTAAAGAAATCGTCCACGGATTCTTTGCTCGCGACATCATTCTCGTTCTTTATCGCGATTTCCAATCGTTTCGAACCTCCGATCGGATTCTGTTCGGCGACTCGATGTTACACGGATTCCATTTCTTTTTATTCGATCTTATTTGACTCGCCGTGGAAATACGTGTTCTCTTATTAATTAAGAAAGGTGAGTGAATTCGTTTTGCATTTTACAGAAGTCTGCACAAACCAGATTCATTATTACTTGGCTGGCTTGCTTGGAAAATATTTTCCCCGTTAATTATGGAAAGTGAATTAAGTCGTCTTTCATTAGTTTTGTTCAAATTAGATTCATTGCAATGCTGTTTTTTTTAGTACGAATACTTTACTTTGTACAGGGATCTATTATTTTTTGCATGAATAAATAGTTTTAGTTTTTAATACGATTTTTAATTTACTTCGACGTCGAGTATTTTTTCTTTTTTTGCTTATTGCGGAAGACGAATTAACTTTCTTCGAAATTTCAAATCAATAATTTTATTATTTTACAATACCAATTTTGTTCTTGTTTGAAATTTTCTAATGCTACTACATATTTAAAGATTGTAATCAAAGATATAAGAAAAATACTGGAGCTATGTTCACGGTGTACAATTAATTTCGAGGTAATCATTTACAGTAGAACTCGAATAAATCGGTTGCTTTTAAGAAACGTTGAAAGCAATAGAATAGATCGATTATTATTATTAATTATTCGATAATTATCGAAGAATGCCTGAATATCCGAAGACCTTTCATTTCATTCGATTGCATTTGCAAATTTAAGATCGTTGTATAATATTAAGCGTTTGGCATCCCGAGAAGCGAAAGCTATAAGTTTTCTAAAAATATCATTATTTTATGTTCCGCGATTTAATTAACTTTACGCACCGCGAATTACAAACATGCCATCGGTAGAGGATAACGCTGGAATTAATGGTGAAATTAAAATTTCCTCCGACATGCATTTTTCTGCACGAATTTTTCCAACTAACAAACCGATCCTTTCATTATCATTTTTACGAGCGGCGAGATAATAGCAGAATCTACTAATTGATTTGAATGCCCCGTTTATTATTACTCGAGAGCTTCTCGTCCGTGTCTCTTTAATTTCACAAATTGCGTTTCATTAAAAAATCTTCGCGTTTAAAACGAACGAACGAACGAAATTGTAATACAATTAGACGAAACATGCCGAGGCATCAACGTGAAATGGAATAATGTTGTGCGACGCGAAAAGGCAAACAACAACCGAATATACATTTTCCCGTGCTCCTCGTTTTGTCGAAGTCACGACGCGTACGGATGCCATAGTCAGGCAAGTCGAACACGTTTCCCTTTGTTCGGCTTTTTAATATCCCGTAAAAGGATCGCGTGGCATTTAATAAAATATTCCGAAGACTGGTGTCGAAATAAATGATCGCAGTAAAATTGCGTGAAAGCTGTTTTAAAAAAATCCTTTGATACAGCGCTCCGATTTTATCGGCGCAACTTGTCGCGTTGCATATTTCCCCGTAGTCCCGGCAGCTTTTGCCTTTTAATGAATTGCAATTGAAACGTTTTATTTCAGGCGTTACATCGACGAAAAAAAGCACCGACGAACATCGACACGAAAAATTAATGGGGTTAAACACACTCGTTTCCTTCGCACAGCGTTTACCCCCCCGAATTACCGTTTTGTTTTTCCATTGACAAAACTTCGTACAAATGTCAAACGTGTCCGACTGAAATAGAGGATAAACTATATGTTGTATAAAAAAATGTAAGCACACGCGGCAATGATTTGGATTTTGCTACGTATTTTCCTTTTTTATCGAAACACGAGGGTTGTCTTGAGTAAGATGCAAGAATGTTTATCGAGCTGTTCTTTAGTCGATTTTTAAT